TGCATATCGATCTTTTTAATTATTCAAATTTACTTCTTGTTTGATAATCAATTTATATTTTGAATTTTTTATTCAGAGATAGAGTGGACGTTTATCTCACTTTGATTAATTTCATGTTTTAATTTTTTTTTTTCTTCTTTTTTCTTGTTTTAGTTGCCTTAAGGATTAAAATGCTTTAGCGTTTAGAAATTGGCATGGATGATCAATCATAATTTTCATAATATGATAATATACTTTTAAACATCTAAAAATATCCTAAAATAACGCATCAACTAAAATTTTAAGAAAAATTTTCAAGTTATTCAATAATATGATCTTTATTAAAATTAATTATAATGATAACTTTATTAATTTATAAAAAATTAATAAAATAAAATTTTAAATTTTATTCACATGCAATCATATTATATAAATATTATTTTTTAGTTTTTATTAACGTGCACCATGTGCACGTGCATTTATACTAGTATATTTAAATATGTTCTTCTCCGTGATTGAAGAATATAATTGAGAATGATTGTTAGATTCTCATTATAATTTTTTAGAACAGTATTTCAGCAGTTTAGTCGGAATTAAAAAAAAAAAAAAAACTTCATCAAACGACCCACATTGACATCTTTTATCATAGGTCATTTATTCAATATTTGAGAATCTTAATGCTCTCTACATTGAGAGAAATTATTTTGTGCGGTTACTGAACAATTTAGAGACGAATCAAAACGGGTCATATCACCCGGTACCAAGTAGTACACACAGCAAAAAAAAAATGACGTGGCACGTTTTCATTCGTCACTGGAAGCCGTTCGGTAACCGCACATAATAATTTTTCCTCCATTGAATTATCTTCAAGTTAGTAAATTTGTTTAATTTCGCTGTTAGATTTAAATATAAGCATGCAATATTTTGAGACTATTTGACCCTTCAATTAATATTTAAAGTTTCTCAATATACTTAAGTGCTTGATTTTAGTTTATTTGAACTTCAATCTTAGCATTTTTGATATCATTAGATTCGTATTCTCGAATTCGGATTATCATAAATTTAATCATGACAATTTACAATTCTAAATTTTACTTGGAGATTTTTGCTAATGGTGAATTTTTACAAACGAATGATAAGCATGAAAGTATAGATTTTAGTGAAATTAATGCGATCGAATAAATACCAACAAAAAAGAAAAAAAATCTCAAGAACTGACCCTGACTGTAATTGTTGTCTCTTTTCTTCTACGTCTTTCTCGGCTGGCTCCAATACTGACAAACATTGACAGGCCACAATAACTCCTAAACTTAGATGATTATCGCCTATATTGTTAGCTCATGATTATTAGCTACAAATTTGTTGATGTTTGTGTGAATTCATGGACCCCTATTATTATTATTATTATTATTATTATTGTTATTAATGAGCTATTCACATCATTTTTTTAGAGATTATTCATTGCGGTGTCCGAATGCGTCCGGATGTTAATTCAGACACACCCCGCCATCCCATGCACTGTGCATTGGATGACCTGGTGCTTCTGAATTGGCCTCCCGACACGTCCGAATACCGCACGTAATAAATTTTTCATTTTTTGGGTGACATTTGCATGTTTCAAATTTAACGCCTCTTGATTAATAGCCAAAGCACCCAACCAAAGAGGGATTATTAGGTACAGAGTCCATACACAACTTTTTGTCTGGACTCCAATCACATTAACACATCTGAATTTTACCTCTCTTATACGAACAATTATTTGGTTCGGTGAACGTACGCTCCTCTACATTCGGCCACCAACCTTTTAGCGCCACATAGCACGAAGAAAAGTCGCAGACCCGACCCGTTCAGTCACCTGACCCAATAATTTGCCCTTATACACACCCTCTTACAAAAGAGAGAAAAAAATCAAAGTATCTTCACGTGATGGGAGTCTGGACTCCGCACATAGTAACTTTTTTCAACTAAGAGACTAAGCTGAGCTGCATATTTACACTACTAAAAAATCTTTTACTTATAAAATTAAACCCTAAATATTTAAAATTAATTCCTGAACCCATAAATTTATAGGTGTTATGAAAATTGAAAAATATTCTTTAATCTAAAAATTCAAGAACTTACAAAAATAAAATATTCATGCAAGACTTACAAATCATGCATCAATATTCTCGCAGCTGATTGTTCAAGAAATTAATATTGCCTACATTATTAAAATGCTCGGCGAGTTTTCAAGCTAGAAAAACTAGCATGTTATCAATTAAGGTAGAGTGTATGGGTTGCAACAAAAAGAAAAGTGGTTGATGGTCGAGTGTGGTTGGGAACCTCCAAATTCGTGTTTGATTCCCTCGGGCGGCAGCGTCCTTCTAGGTTGGATCCAACAAGTGCTGGCCACGAGTAGCAAGGGTTTGGGTCGCTCGTCTAGGTCAGCTAGTGGACATCGCTGCAAGCTAGTGATCACTAGCTGACGTGGCAGCGGGACGATACTCCCCGTTCCAAAAAAAAAGCCATTGACGCATAAATTTTATTTACCTTAATTATTTATAAAATAGAAAAAATATTGCTCTTAATTTTTGTGTTTTGCATGATTTTTGAGGTTGACAGGGTAATAAATCTTGCACTGATTGATACTCACGTCTCCAAAAAAATAATTATAGGAATCTTGAAATTTGCTTGAAAAGTTCAATAAAATAATGATGGGAAGTACTTAGATTTAAAACCTTTTATGTTCGTATTTTCGTATTTGTTATATGATAGAAAATTTATGCCCATAAAGTAGAAAATGTATATCTTAACTTTTAACAAAAAAGGTAACACACTAACACACGTAGATAACATGTATAAAAGATCAAAAACTTTACCTGAAAAAAAAAAAAAAAAATCAGGACTAGCCTAGTTTAAAATTTTAGTATATAATAGGAGATGCTAGAATTCTTCATTCCTAACGGTTGAAGAATAAGGGGGTCATTTAAGAATGAAATATTTTATTTTTCTTATGTAGAGATTATATAAGTTTGATGTCCATATTGGACAATTGAAACCCAACGATAGGGTTTGATCTTGATAAGAATTTGAGGATGATGGTGATGATTGGTGGTTAAATTTAAATTTAGGATATACAAATGTAATATTTTACTAAAAAAGGTGACATCATGATCTATGAATGAATTGCTTTAAAATATGGTAAAAAGAATTAAAAAAAAAATCGCATATAAAAATTATAACATAATTTAGGTCATAATAGATTTAAATAGCTCTAACGTTGTGCTCTGATTAGTGTTTATAACTTTATGTATGATGAAGTTATCTATGTTCATACTTGTTGCGGGCTAGAATATATGCGGCGATAGAGTTAGAATTTTACGTCTTAGTGTTGCACGGATATCTATCTCACATACAGATAACAAAAGTTTTTTTACGTGGAAAACTCTTGAAAGGAAAAAAAATCACAGGGCCTAACCCAGTTGAAAATGATTTAACTAGAATTTGAGTCGGTTACAATGGGCTGACTCTCCTCCGAGGGCGATCAGATTACAAGTAATACTTGTACGATAGAAGTCCGGGTGTCAGGTGAGGGTCTGACAGAACTTCTGGTCTTAGATGGTGGTCTGGTAGAACTCCGGCTCTTAAGTGATGATCTGGCGAAGATGAGGGCCTCCGACGGTGGTCTAGTGAAGGTGAGGGTCTCCGGCGGTAGTCCGGCGAAGTTCTGGCGGTGGTCCGGCGAGACTCGGCGGTGGACTGGCAGTGTTCCGACGAAACTCCGTCGGTGGTCGAGGAGGAGCTTCTTCCTTCTCTTCTCTTATTCTCTTCTTGCTTCTCATCTCTTCTTCTCTTCTTGTTTGGATCTCTTTTCAAGAGAAATGAGGGTCTATTTATAGATTTATGGAGTGACATGACCAATAAATAGGTGAGAGATCAAGGGTAAATGGGGAGTGGTTGGATGGACGGCCGATATTGAATCCCTTGATCATGGATCATTCGCCAGACATTTGAAAGCCTTAATGATTTTGGAATTTAGTGATCTTGGGCTCGTTGGATTCGTCTTGTCGAGCCGCTCGATTTGACTATAATTTTGTCATATTTGGAAACCGTTTGATAACTCAAACAGTGGTATGAAGCTTTAAACAACACTTCGGGTTCTTGATTTGGACTCGGATTGAGTCAAATTTGGTGTCGTTGGGTTCGTATTTCCGAGACGCTCAGTTTGACTGTAAGTTTGCTGAAATAGGAGTTCGGATGATCCCAATCTTAAATTTGGAAGTTTCCAACTTGATTTTGCATCAAGATTCGTGCTCGATCAACATTTTGTTTTTTTGGATGATATATCAATCCTGATACAAACCAACAAAGCAAAATTTACTTACATGACGCCCTTATTACTTTAGTTCTGCCTAGTCATCTTCAAACTTGATGACTTATTTCTTTATCAAGGATTTACGTTCCTTCTTCTAATTATGAGATTTTGAGTGCTCCTTTTTAAATTTTCCTATTAGTGCATGGTGCATAGGATTATCGTTTGCAACAAGTGGCAGCGCATGACAGAGTGCCGAAGCTCTTTTGCATTCTCCACCCGTAAAAAAATATTATTTGCAAATATATGTATTCCCTGATTTTCAATCAGATCAGGACAACGACGAGAGCGTTCATACAAGTCCCGTGAGCCCGTGCCAACCCACGTAATGGTTGGGTTCGCGCAAATCCGACCCGTTTTTAAATCAAACCAAACCCGAACCGTACTGTTGCAAATTTCCCCCCGCTGACGTAGGAAGCGTTGGAATATCCGCGGACCCCATTCGCGCTTTCAACCGACCCGAGACGGTTCAGTGTTAGTGTTGCCTTAGATAAGCCGAACCGGACCATTTCATATTTCCTTCGAGCCGTCATTCACCCTTTTTATGCTCAACTCGTTGCCTTGTGCGCTCGCTTCCTAGTCTTGGAGAAGAAGCAGGTGTAGGCAGGCACGGAGGTGGGTATAAATAGGGAAGAAGGAAGCGAAGGAGATAGCCGAGGAGAAAGGAGAGATGCATCTCTACAACGCATGGCTTCCGCCTCAAGTAGCCGAGGAGACGAAGAGGGAGTCGGAGTCGTTTGCTGTCGTCTTGAGATCCATAAAGGAGGCTTGGCGGCCGGAGGATCCTGAATCTGTTTACTCCACTCTGAAGTGGATCTCCGTCCTTGACCTGTAATCATATCGCTTCTTCCTTCTTCTAATCCCTTTTTTTATCCGAATTCGGTTCTTATGTGCCTTTTTGATTAGGAAACCAGAGTATACTTTGCTCCTTTCTTGATCCCTGCATCGTTTCACTTTCTAGTTTTCTTAGTTTGTTGAAGTTTACAACCAACGTTTTAATCTTTTGATGTCCCTAGTTCGGCATGAGCTTTCCCCATTTTTGTGGCTGCTTTCCTGATTTGCGGATTCTGCGTGTCTTTAACTCTTGGTTATTTTCTTCTTGTAGCTTTATAAAAGCGAAGAGTGAAGTTTCTTTGGAAGATGTAAAGGAGCTGGTTGAATCTGGTTTGGAGATTTTTAACGCGTCGCAGAACAAACTCTACGCCCAAGTAAGGATAATGCAGATGCTGACATTATTTTCTATTCAGTTGATAATTCTACCTGAGTTGGCTGCAACGGTAGTTATATTTCTGTATTTCCGTACGTGAGTTTTTTATGACGCAGGGTATTCTATATGGTGATTAGGTTAGATGGGGAAGTATGTTAGTCAAGCTCTTAAAGAAGCATGGCAAGAAGTTATCACTTAGAATCTACTGGAAGCCTTTGTATGATACTTTGATGAGGACGCACTTTAAAAGGTTGGTTTCATATCGTTTTTATTTGGTGGTGTCGAGCAAGCAGTATGGAAATGTTATAATGTTATCATTCCTTTGCTGTGGAGCTTCTTAATCCGACAATATTGTTTGTATGATTCCCTTAATCTCGTACAAAGCTCTTTTGCTACACTGTTATTGAGTACTCGCTGCCTCTTTTTTCGATTCATACTATATGTTGCTTGCATGGTAATCTCATCGTTAGTTATTAATGCACAATGTCTTGCGAAGAAGATCTCTGATTGAAAATCTAATATGATAAAACTAGAGCGAGGCTACTAGATGAGGCTAGGTCAATCCAGTGTCTAGAGGAATTGATATAATAAGGCTTAGCCCTGCATTTAAATTGTAAATTGTCTATTTTGTAATTTACACTTTGCCACTACTCCTCAACTAACTCCAAATCTTCAAAGATGTAATATGATTAATACTGTCAATTTAATATATTTTGATGTATTTTATTTTAGGAAGAAGCGTGAGAAATCAATTTTAGTGCGATCAGGCTTCAAATTGTCTTCAATTTGGCTGTAGTTGAGTGGTAGAGATTATCATAGACTAATTATATGAGGGCATTCAGTCTCTTTCAATATTAGGTTCCAACAATTTAATCAAAATGAGTGAATGATTAAAGTTTCTTGAATGCAACAACAACAACAATAATATCAAGCCTTTGGGGTCGATTACATGAATCATTTGTCTCTATCATGTCCTGCTAAGAGTCAAATTCTCATTTAAATTTAATAAAGAAAGGTCATTTCTAATAATTTCTAACCAAGTCTTTTTAGTTTTAGCTCTAATTGTCTTAATATGCTATATCTAATATATTTACTCTCATAACCGAGTCATTTGAAGGCAGATTTTTTATGTGACCAAACTATCTAAGGTGACTCTCTTTAATCTTATCTATCATTGGAGCTACTTCAACATTTTCACGTATATACTTATTTTGTATTTTGTCTTTGAGAGTAAATCCATTCATCCACATGGACATCCTCATCTCTGCAACACTTAACTTAATTTTTTACTTTTCTTTTAATGGCTAACATTATGCACCATAAAGCATTGCAGGTCTCACCACCATCTTATAGAATTTTCCCTTAAGTTGGAGGGATATTCTATCACATAATAGGCCCGATGCATTCCTCCACTTCAACCATCCAACTTGAATTCTACTAGTAATATCCCCATCTATTTCACCATCGTTTTAAACAATAGACTCAAGATATTTATAAAACGTGCACTCTTTTTAATAACTTGATCGCCCATAGTCGCAATCCCCTCAATAAATCTATTACTACTAAAATTACAACTCATGTATTCAGTTTTAGATCAACTCAAACGAAAACCCTTAGACTCTAAGGTTGACCTGTATAATTCATGTTTTTCTTCAACTCGCTCTCTATTCTTATTAAAAAGAAGAATACCATTATCAAAAAGCATAAACCAAGGTACATCCTCTTGCAAATATCTAGTAAGAACATCCATGCCTATAGCAAAAAGTTACTTGAAAACAACATTATATTTAATGTGTTCAATATGAAAATTCTTAGGAAGTTTTTTTTACTACTGAAATTGGAACCCTAATAAGTACGTATCTCCTTAATAGTTGTATAGAAAATTATCTACTTTGCAGATCTATTATTTGTTGTAATTTTCTGGATTTGATGATTTTTTTAACATGATTGACATAAATAATTTATTTATTTGTTTAGTTTTCTATGAATTTTAATAGCCTCTTATTTTTCTAACTGAATATGTTGAATAGAAATACAGGCCCAGAGGGTTGGCGATTGAGACAACGACATTTTGAGACTGTTACATCGCTCGTTCGTTCTTGCCGGAAGTTCTTTCATGCTGGGTCAAATTTTGACATATGGACAGAGTTCAGGTATTTTTTTTGGACACTTGCATCCATTTTATTTAGTTTTTATTATATCCAACTTATCCAAGCAACACTCGACACCTCAATAGAATATTTTTATTTGAATAATCTTTGGATTTGTTTAATGTACCATTGACTGACTTTAATTTTGAGGATTGATGCATATCTAGAAATTTCCATCTAATTGTAATTGAGTCAGTTGTAGTTTAGGACTAGAAACAAGCTAGACTACATTAAAGAGGTGTTGCTAGAACCACAATATTATTCTCCATGCTAAAACCTTGGGACCTAGAACCTAAAAGAAGATCCTGAAGTTTGGAACCCGAATTGAGTTGTTTCATATGTGAAACTCCTTTGAGTTTTGAGTCAATTAGTTGGTAGAAGCATTTACAAAACCACAAACTGAACAAACCATGCTATGCTTTTTATGAGTCTCTTCATAATATGAATTGAATATATTTTCACATATGTCTTTTAAATTAAAATTTATCAAGTAAATAAATCTTAAAATGGACCCGTCCCATAGGGACTTGTTAAATTAAAAACTAACTTCAAAATAATATTATTTTTCATAAGCAGGTATTGTAAATATAAGTAGTAGAACATGGTTTTTAGGAGCATGATGTTTATTACAACCATCTACAGGAGAATGGACATGTGCATAAGGACTCAAATCTTTAGTGTTAATGAATCTTTTTGGTTTAAACAAGAAAACATGAGAAATTTGCGCCAAACGATTATTTAAGGATTGTTTAAATAAAAGAAGATCAGTGAATATTAACAGCCTCTTAAAGTGTAATTTGATTGGAATTCATACTGCAATTAATTGATTGGATGGAGCTAATTGGATTTAAATTAGTCACACTTGCAAACCAGCATCAAATTATGCAAAAGAAAAAAGAGCAAGATAAGAGATCATCAATACATAAATCTTGGACTCGCAGTACCACAAGGAGATGACTTCTCTTGAAAATTATTGGTTGCTTTTACATTGCTTGAACAGATCAACATGCATCTAGGCACATATGATTGAATTCCATACACTGTTTTATCGAGCCACAAGTTCTCTAATACATGCCTTAAATATAATATATATAATCCTCTAACTACTGAAGGTCGACAACATCAAAGTCGGTTTGATTCATAATCCTTAAAGATGCATAAATCTCAATGCAATAATTGCAAAAACTAAAAAATAAGCTGCAGAAACTAAAGCAATAGATTGCAACTCACTATAGAACTTTATAAATAACACAATAAATTGCTCGAGTTGCGAAACTATATAAGCAACATCAATTATTTACCCTAGGGCCAACATTGGACATAGAAAGGTCAATTCAAATACAAAACCAACAAAACTCTGCTACAAAATTGCTCCCCCAAACACCCAAATAGCATAATTGTGTGAGATAAAAATAATTTGATTTGAAGGAAAAATATAGTGGGGAGTTTGTGACTTTGAGCGATCAAGTCGTTAATAAGTGTACTCATTTTATATATCTTGAGTCTATTGTTCAAAGTGATAGTGAAATATATGGTAACATTATGATACGCCTTAGGTTTCACAAATTAGGGTTTGCCCTAATTTTCCTTCAAGATGAAATTTCTCCTTCAAATCCAAGAAAAAATCAGCACAAGAGGGATGAGAGGAAGAACAAGAACATTTGCATTCAAAATCCAAGAGAAACAAGATACAATTTGTCCACTTCGAGAAGGACAAGGTCTCCCACTACAAACCCTAGAAAAACAAGAGAAAGAAACTAAGGAGGCTAAGAGAAAACTCAAATCTTGCATAACCCTAGAAATCTCCCTCTATTCCTTACTTAAAGCAAGCAAAAGACCCAACCAAACCCACTAGTGGGCTGCCCAAACTGAACCGCCCAGCTCAGGGCTGACCCGAGCCAAACCGGTCCAGGATTGGACCGGTTCCGCTCAAGGCCGAA